CCCCCCCCCACCGTGTCCTCTTTTTGCTTGTGGAAATATGGTAACCCTATACATGTCCATTAAATAACTGGCCTTTCTAATGAGATTGTCAATTAGAGTGCCAAATAAGATGGGGCCCACAAATCATTTGATATAAATAATCAAACCCTTGTCTCAGGGAGCCACAATTTTTTCACTTCTAGTGACCTGGCCAGATTCAAACGTGAGGTGAAAAGGTTCCTACATGTGTTAGGCAATTTAGTGATCATAGAAAAAATACAATCCTTGACCTGAGGAGCTTACATCATTTTAGACATGAGAGAATGAGTGACAGCAACAAACAGAAGTGACGGGGGGAAGGATAAAGGTTACAGTAAGATTACATGGTTACCTGGATAAATTATAGGCTCATCTTGATGATGTCCCTGAACTCTCTTTTTTTTCTTATTAAACCTCTCTCTCTCACTCCTTTCCCAGGGTAGATGATGACAACCTTCTCGTGGTCTGCCCTGCTATGTGTCAACGCACACCCAATGTCAACAAATCTGCATCTGAATGTCACTCAGTGAAATCTGAGATTGAACAGCAATGGAGATAATTACCCTGCAAAAAGTGATTCCTTTCAGAGCCACTTTAAGAGAACAGTAGGCTCAGCTCTATGAATTTGCCAACAGAATGTCAAAGGTATATCCCCATCTAAAAGATAATATAATCAATGCCATCACCCTTATATTAAAAAAAAACCTCTCAAGAATCAGGCTGCCATATTGCTGGATACAATCTTGTCACCTCTCTCCATCATTCAAAACATAGCTTGGATTATGATCCAATAGATGCCAGGAGTAACACCAGAACCTTTACTATCTCAATAAGAATTGGCAAGTTAACGGTAGCCAGCAGTAGGCAACCTATGGCTCGCGTGCCAGGACACTGCCCAGGTCCTGGCCACCGGTCCGGGGGGGGCTCTGCATTTTAATTTAATTTTAAATGAAGCTTCTTAAACTTTTTAAAAACCTTGTTTACTTTATATACAACAACAGTTTAGTTATATATTATAGACTTATAGAAAGAGACCTTCTAAAAACATTAAAATGTATCACTGGCACGCAAAACCTTAAATTAGAGTGAATAAATGAAGACTCGGCACACCACTTCTGAAAGGTTGCCGACCCCTGCAGTAGCTAATGTGTATAAACCACCGAATACAGACCAGCTTTCTCCCACTTTATCCACAGTATATCACTCTGTTATATACATCGGTGATTTCAATAGCCACCACACAATGTGGGGCTATAGTAGCAACGCTACTCCAGATGAGGAACTTGCAGAATGGTAATCAAAAACATACATCTTCTCTTTGTTGTGAAAAACAGAGGCACTTTTTATTCTGTTTACTGGAACAGAAACTACTATCTAGACCTCTGTTTCCTCAACAACGATGAGTTCAGAATCCTTCAAAACATCTCTAGAACTGTTGTTGGCGATTTTTCAAATAGTCAACTTTGACTATTGAACTCCCAGCATTGGAATTGAACTCCCAGTAATCATGTCACTACCCAAACCGTGAAGGAACTTTCAAAAGGAAAGCTGGCTGGGATTCATTGTAACAACTGAGGCCACCATTGATGCTATTCAACCAGAGCCTGAAAACTGAAACTGTTTCACCCGGCTCATGCAAAGGGCCACAAGAAAAAACATCTCCCATAATTATCAAAAAGGATACACCTGATGCTCGCAACCAGAAACATAAAGACTATTACCGGAACACCAAATGTCTGATGACACAAACACTGCAACATCCCTACTAGAGTCACCAAATTTAACCCTCCATCAAAGATGGATTGAAACAGTTGAATCTACTCACTGTAGTCATAACGCTTGGCTATTATTGCATCATCTTGGGTCTGCAGAAATGTAAAACCGTGAGGTCTTAGCTGATGTGATCACAAGAACACTTCTTATTAACTCAAAAGCACCAGGGGTCAAGTCTACCAATGCAAAATGCACAGAGAGTTACAACAGCTCACTACCCCCCTCATCACTGACTTTCACTATTGAGAAGATAAACAAGACCTTCTCACTTACAAAAGCTGGGAAAGATGCAAGACTTGATGGCATCCTTCTAGTATTTATTAAAAACCCTGTAGCCAAGGTACAGAAATGGGGGTAGCACTGTTCTCCTATATCATTCCACAGGGATTCTCCCCACAATCTATGACTATTGCCATTGCCAAGTCCAGGAATGTTACTGAATGAACAAGTTGGTTTCCAGACAAGTCAAAGGTGCACTGGCCAAGTATTAGTCTTAGCAATGCACACTGAGGTGGGATTCCAGCAAAAATTCAAGATTGGGGCAGCTTTGACTTATAGGGGGTACCTATGGCACTGTATGGACGAACGCCCTTCTGAAAGCCAGCAAAATTATCCCATACAATGCAATGATAAAATTCTTCTCAGAAGTTCTGACCAATCATAAGTTTCATGTTTTCCTTGGTGACCAGATCAGCAGACCATGTGCTCTCAATGATGGTTTACCATAGGGACCAGTCCTAGCACCAATCTTGGTTAACATCTATATTAGGGACCTTCATGGAAATTTGCTTATGCTGATGAGACTGTGTGATTGTGCAGTCAGAACAATTTACTTATCATAAAACAAATACTAAACAAGGACTTTAAAACCATGGAAGGATATTTCTTAAGCTGAAACTAAAATGAAAACCCCACCAAGTCTCTAATGTCAGCATTTCATTTAAGTAATCCAAAGGCTATGACAGAACAGCATGTGGACTTCTGTTGCCAATAGAAAAACACAATCCCACCCTGAATTATCTTGGTGTGAAAATAGACCGAAGCCTCACATACCACTGGCACCTGACAAAATAAAGATTAATATAAACCTCATCCAGAAACAGACAGGAAAAACATGGGAAGCTGATGCAAAAACCCTATGAACCTCTTCACTGGTCCTTGTTTAATCTACTACAGATACTGCTCATCCATCCGGACACATAGTTCCCACACGTCACTCATTGACTCTCATCTTGCCACCACCATGAGAATCATTACATAAAAATATGAGAACATAAGAATGGCCAGACTCAGTCAGACCAATGGTCCATCAAGTACATAAAAGGTAGTTATAAGAAGGAGGGAGAAAAATTGTTCTTCTTATCATCTGAGGATAGGACAAGAAGCAATGGACTTACATTGCAGCAAGGGAGGTTTAGGTTGGACATTAGAAAAAACTTCCTGACAGGGTGGTTAAGCACAGGAATAAATTGCCTAGGGAAGTTGTGGAATCTCCATCAGTGGAGATTTTTAAGAGCAGGTTAGACAAACACCTGTCAGGAATGGTCTAGATCAGTGATGGGCAACCTGCGACCCACAGGCAGCCCATCAGGGAAATATGATTGCAGGCCATGAGACATTTTGCTGAGGTTGACCATCCGCAGGCACGGCCCTCTGAAGCTCCCAGTGGCCGCGGTTTGCCATTCCCGACCAATGGGAGCTGCGGGAAGTGGCGGGCCACAGGGATGTGCTGGCTGCCTCTTCCCACAGCCTCCCATTGGCCGGGAACAGTGAACTGCAGCCACTGGGAGCTGCGGGGAGCAGTGACTGCGGATGGTCAACGTCAGCAAAATGTCTCGCGGCCCGCAATCAGATTACCCTGATGGGCCACCTGCAGCCCGCAGGTTGCCCACCACTGGTCTAGATAATATAGTCCTGCCATGAGTGCAGGGGACTGGACTAGATGACCTCGCGAGGTCTCTTCCAGTCCTAATATTCTATGAATATAGCCCAGTATCCGATCTTCCAACAGTGGCCAGTGCCAGATGCTTCAGAGGGAGCAAACAGAACAGTGCAATTTATTGAGTGATCTATCCCCCTGTCATCTGGTCCTA